CAATGAGTTCCCATGTCCAGCCGGACGGGTTCCGTTATGAGATTAGCTTGCGCCCCTCCCAACAGAGACTTGTCCACTTGCTCGAACCGGATAGGGTGGGCTAGCCGCTGTACTCTGAGCCCACTCTCCGCTGCTACCACCTTGCGTATCAAGCACCAGGGGCACCCTGAATCGATGAGGGCTTGGTAGCCTCTCTGTTGCCCTGTCTGTGGGTTAGTCAGTGTCACAGGCAGAACGAAAGGCATTATGGGCTCACTTACCATAGGATCATTGGCTACGTTGTCCTTGCAGTCGTCAGCTGCCAGACGGTATCTTGTCGCTACTGTTACCTACTCCTCCTCCACCGGGAACAACCGTCGGGGTGTAACCGCCTCCGGCTGCTGCGCCGCCCTTGATCTGTCGGGCGTTCTGTTGGCACTAGGAGTGGGCTTTCCAGAGGTTGAGGAAAGAACCTGTAGGCTCGGGGCTGGACAGCGCTGCTCTATGGCCTGGCTGGTTACACTGAAAACAGCGAAAGGGCACCCTGGCGGACGGGGCGGAGGAGCCCAGACCTGTGAGCGGGCCCCTTCTTCCCTCCTCTCGTAACTTCTCCAACGACCTTCCTGGTATGACCGGGTACTCTCCCTTCCCCGGAACTCCTGTAGAACGGTGTTGAGGTCTATGACCACCCGGAACCACTCCTGGAGACGGCTGGGAACCCCCCGGAATACACAAGCCTGGTGCAACTCTCACTCCAGACCTGCCCGGAAATGATGGACAAGTAGGCATTCAGGCCAGAAGCGCAGCTGCCCCGCGACCCTACAAAAGTCACGGATGTAATTGGTTGCACGCCGGCCACGTTGCCTCAGCACAACTCCACCTCAGTGCGCTGAACCTGGGAAGTGTCTTCAAAGCGGGAGCGCAATGCACCCAGGAACAACCCAGCATCAGCCAGCTCCCGGGCCTCACTTTGCAGTCCTGCCGAAACCACCACCATGGCCCATTAGGATGGGTAGAGCCGGGCATATTGGTCCAGATGTCTGATTACATTGCTTAGGAACATTGCCAGGCGATCCGGGTGTCCATTGAACGTGAATGGTAAGGGTGGTCATCATCCCGACTCCAGGGTCCTCTAGGTTGGCTTGGGCCTTGTAGGGCTTCGGCCGTAGGCGGTGGGCCCTGGGTGCTGGAACCCATGCCCTGCTGGTCGGAGCCTCTCCCAGCAGGCAACCCCCATGGATCAGGTGCTGGCCGGTCTGTCCACGCAGGCCGAGACAGGGCCTGCAGTGCACCCAGAGTAGGCCCTCCTACCGTGGAGCAGGAGGACGTCGCAGTCGCGGGATGGCCAGACGGAACCGGCCTGAGTCGGGATGTCTGGCTGGTGCCTCCATCCGACGCCACAAGGCATCCTCTCCTGTAGCCGTCCGTCGTGGCCATGAGGAAGTGTCTTGGTACCCTACCTCCCCGAACCATTCCCTCAAAACATCCATGGTATATTGGCCGGGAGGCGGTGAAATAGCTCCACTCATCCTCATCCTCTCCTGTCAGCCGTCTCTCCCGTCAGTCCATCAAAGAGGCCCTAAGCCCCAGTGTAGTCACCCATCCAGGCTGTGCCACCAGTCCCCCGATGCTGGAGCCCCAGCCCCCTGGATCTCACCTGCAGGGGCTGCAGGCCGTGGCATTACCACCTTGGGCATGACTACTGACTGCATGTCCTCGGCTTCAGGATCAGGCCCTGTTGCTCCAGCTGGGTCGGCCTCGTCTGCTACTGGAGGAGCCTCCTGTTTACCCTCTGCCATCTCAGTAGAAGTCCCAAAACGACAGGCAATAGGAGGGGAACAGAAAAATAATGAGTGCTGACTTACTGTCAGCTGTCCTTTGCCAGCTGCCGACAAACTCCAGACACAGAAGGAACAGGTGACCAGCAAACTTTAATGCAAAGAAAAAGTCAGCACTGGGAGTGAACTGCTCCCAGTGCTTTACATAGACATGCCCCTCCCACCAACCCCACCCCAATCAGCAAGCTAGCATCCGGTCTGTATGGATAAAAGGCGTAGTTCAGTGTCTGCATTCCCCCCCTCCAGACGCACCCACGTAGCCTCTGCTGTTCCAGCTGTTCTCTCAGGTAACCAGGCAGCATTCTGCCTCCTCCCCCCTGCACCCAGCGGGAGGGAGAGGCGGCCAAGGTAAGGCATAATCCCCCCCTCATCCGGCTTGCTTTGCTCAAATGTCCAGCCGGCGGTGGGGACGTCTCTGGCGTCCGTTTCCTCAGAGGGAGACACCCGTGGCGTTTGGCGGCCAGCTGCTGGCCGAGAGCCAGGCCGACTCCCAGCTGCTTCCCAGGAGCCAGGCCGACACGCGGAGGCTGGGCCGACTCCCAGCCGATCTTCGGGAGTCAGGCGGCGCATGGCATTTCCACCGACTCCCAGCTGACGTGCGCACGCTGGGCCAACTCTCAGTTGGCTGTCGGGAGCTGGGCGGTGTATAGCAGCCCCGATTCCCTGCCGACATCTGGATGCTGACCCGACTCCCAGCTGACTGTCAGGAGTCGGGCGGTGCTCCTGGCCCCCATGCGGACGTCAGCCGGCTGCTGGCTGTGTCCTCCCCGTCTCCCAGCTTATGGCAAGCTCAGGGGTTTGACAATTCTATTCTATTCCTAATGAAAGGCCAATTGAGTTAAAGCTCTCTGGATCTTGTGGGGAAGATGGGACAAGGTGCGGCAACAGAGAAGGTAATATTTCCTATTAAAAAAACAGAACCCTATTGGTTCTGGTTTAATATTTTGAGCTTTTGAAGCTAGACCACCTCAAGAAACAGACCCCACAAGGGCATTTTAGCTCTATTTTACTAATAAAGGACTTTGCAAAATAGTGTTTCTCTAAATCAAGATAGGATAAGCCTGAGCTTCTTGTTCATCATCTCTTCTATTTAGAAGCTAAGCTTACAATTGCTAAGTATCAAGACCATCTTTATACAACCCCCCTTTAGATTGAAAGCAGGGAGACAGGCTACAGATTGATTGGATTAGAGTTCGATAGCAACAGGATGCATATATTGGGGTCTTTACATCTCTATATGAATTATGGACAATTGTTTTTCAATAATCAAACAAACATGTTCTCTTTAGGAAGAGGATTACAAGTCTGCCATAAGAATAGAACTGCTGAACATGAAGGGAGTGTTTAAACTTTGCATTGGCTACTCTGATCTCTAATATCAAAGCTAAGAGCAAATGGTAATGGCTATGTGTTTATTTAGGGAATATGATTTAAGGACACAATTGCTCTCTTATTCCAAATAGTAACTAAGGTTTCAGTCAAATCATGTACAAGAGTTCCACGAATGAACCCAACACTCTTCTGAAAACCAGGTTATGTGTTTATTTAGGGAATATGATTTAAGGACACAATTGCTCTCTTATTCCAAATAGTAACTAAGGTTTCAGTCAAATCATGTACAAGAGTTCCACGAATGAACCCAACACTCTTCTGAAAACCAATCAGCCTGGGGCTGATTCCACCTCTCTGTAGTGGAATATAGCCCAAGAAAAATCAAAGACCAAGTGGGAGTGATCTGTTCATGGCAAGGGATTCATGTTAGTACTCTTCAAGTCCAGTTTATATTGCAACTGTCCCAAGATAAAGACAAGGTTCAATGTGTGACACTTTTTGGCCCCTATTTTGGCACAGAGGTAACTTCACTCAGGTACTTGGTAGCCACTTGAGTAGCCTCCAAATCTGCACTTGAAATCAGCAGATTAAAATTTGCCATACCATAAGCCCATGGAACTCTACTGCCAACCCAGTTATGAACTCCAACTAGCATAATTCCCTCTGAACCCCTACTGCCCAACTTCACAAAGAGGAATTCACAACTGGGTATTGCAGAACAATGCACCTGAAAGCCATAAAACTTTTCAAATGACAATAGCTATACCACCATCTTAACCCTGGGCTACCCTTGCTAGTCAGCTAAGTTTTGGTAATTAAAAAAAAAAAAAATCCAGCCCTTTCATCCACAATTAAGCTGTGGAGGAGGAGAGCTTTATTATAAGTCTTATCCATTAAGCAGCAATAATTAGAAACCAGGACATTTGAGCCTTCATTTCCAGATCTTGCAATATAGCACAAGAGTCTATCAAGACTGGTACCAAATACCAAGGTGGTCATCCTTGGAAGTGGCAGACTTGTAAGACAAATAAAGGAGAATATTTGTAACTCAGGGTTGAAATGAGGAGTCCTTGGTGCTCTCTGAGCTTGCTTATTTTCTTGCAAATGTTTCATTACCCAAACTAGGTGATATCATCAGTGCTAGTAAGGAGTGCTGCTTGCTGTCAGTTTATATTCTGGTGGCTTGTCCTGTCAGTGTTGATGGGGGTGTCAACCAAATAATCTCTAAAACCACCCAATCAATATTGACAAGGCAAGCCTCTAGAATATAAACTGATGGCAAACTACATTTCTTACTAGCACTGATGATGTCATCTAGTTTGGGTAACGAAACATTCTGCAAGAAAACAAGCAAGCTCAGAGAGCACTAAGGTGCCCTCAAACTTGTAAGATTCTATTATTATAACCTATCTCAATAAATACAGTTCTAGTTTTTCAGTGAGTTGGTTTCCTTGTCTAACCTTGTCTACCTCATATATTGGGACAGTGATCTAAACTGTTTTCTACTGCATCTTCCCCTGCCCAATATATTTTCCTCTGGCTGCAGTGCAGCACCACAATATCCTTGGTTTCTTATCAAGGATTGATACATATTATAATTTTGATCATCACTGAAATATGATCCATTTCTGGCATAGAGTTAAGAAGGCACCATGACAATAATTTGAAGTGGAGTGTGAGCATATTGCTATCCTCATGTCTTGTTTGTATGCTGGCAACTGTAAAAATAGAATATTAGATATGACTTTCATCTATAGCACAGGTTTTATTGTTCATGTCTATTCAATTTTAATATTACTTTATAACTATATGCTTGTTTTTTTACAAATAGATATTGAGCAGAATTCATACCTCACATCGGAAAGGCTTCTCTCCTGAATGCTGTAGTGAATGAACCTTTAACGACATACTGCGTTTGAAAGATTTTCCACAGGTTTCACATGTAAATGGCATGTCCTTAGTATGTGCTGAAACATCAGTCAATTAAGTAAGTCAGTCATAACTAGCTTAAGTCTCAGTGGTTTCAAGAGGTATACTCTAAAAATAGATAAGATTGGATCCAATTATGTTTTTATTTTATTTAAAGTATTTATCTGGGTGTCATTCAATTAGAATGGTTCCTGTGGTGGTTTATAGTTAAATTATAATATAAGCAAAATAACTTAAAGTAGCAATTAACATTCAGGAAATAAAGATGCTATTTATGGTGCCTTATAATACAGAAATCAGCTTAGTACAGAGTAAAAACAAAGCATGCTAATTTGACTATAAATTATGATAGGCATGGACACAGAGAACTACATAATTAAACTTCATGTAATCACAGGACAAAAGTGCCCTTTTTCATTAATTCCCTTTCTCAACAACTCTCTTCTAAGTTTGAACTTCCTAGCTATCTCACTAGGTCAAAATTATTTCAGCCAAGTGAGAATAATTTTTTAACAGTTCAGTTCGCCCTGAAAAGGAGTTCAAATGTTTTTCCTCTATCATTTAGGTCTACAGATGGATATTTTACCGTGAAGGTATCCCACATTTTACCCATATTATATGCTTTAATTCTTCCAAATATAGATTCTAGTTCCAAAGGCAAGAGGAAATATATAAACTCCCTAACCTCAGTGCTTGCATTCAGGAAGACGCACATCAAAATATGGAAGTTTTATTATAAACTAGTACCCTTGTAATAAATGGGACTTAACTAAAACAGAAAATTGCAAATAGACTAAAGTGACATTTGCCTTCTCCAATTGCGTCTAAAATATATTCCCCATATTAGAACCCCAGATAGTCTTACATTGGGCAGATTGAGATGCCAAAGGCTAGGTTTCTCTCTTTTTACTTCTATGGCTTTCTCTATCCCATCCAGTAATGACTAATGGAGGTGAATAAGGACATAGTTACAGATAGGTGTTTTTAAAATGACTAACCTATCTGTAAACAAGGAGCCACGTGAAATTCTACATGGACGGTTGGCTGAACATCAGAATCTTAAGTCTGAAAGAAGCACAATGCTGTGCAAAAACAGACAGAAAAACTCACCAACCATGTGCTTTCGCACGTGAGCCATGGTGTAGAACTTCTTTTCACATATTTCACAGGAGAATTTTTTCTCTGCATATCCATGGACAATCTTGATATGCTCATGGAGGGACCAAAGTTTCTTGAATGACTTATTACAGGAAACACACTGAATGGGTGGACAGGATAAAGAAGAATAATTTAAACAAAGTTCACTTCAGATGGCACCAGGAAGCTGTAACCAAATAAAATGAACATACACAAGGAAAAGGCTACAACAGTATGTACACTGTTTGTGACAAGTATTAAAATGCCATTCAGTTGATTCAGTCACAGATACAAGGTTTAAGTGAGTACAGTATTCGTGTGCTTACATCGCCACCTGCTGCTTCCTCAAGAGCAGATCCGCAGCAACATCCAGGCTTCTACCAGCCCTTCACACAGGCGCAAAATACGTTGATGGAAAGAGCAATGATGTTGGAGAAGGATACTGACTAAATTCAATGAGCTAGCCTGACAGTTTGAAAATGATGTTTGATGTCAAAATAGCTCATTTGTTTTTAAGCATAATCTTGGAAGTATATTGCTATGGACTGTGGGATTATAATAAATTACTCAAAATTAAACAATTGTTTTTCCTATTTGGAGTAGAGGAAGTTAGACTACGGATAGGAAATAAGAGAAAATAAAATAATACATTTTCTTCTAGCCAAAATCATAACAGAACATATTTAAACTAAGTAATGTGATTTTATATTAATGGCTGATTTTAGTTGGCAAGGACACTTTGTAATTTTTATCTTGTGTAAGATAAGATGGTAAAGCAAAGCAAAATAAAAATATTTGTAATTTCTATCATTATTCAGTACAAGCAGTCATTAATACATCTTACCATAACCCTAGCAGACCAGTTATACAAGAAAGTAATGCTCTCTCTCTCTCTCTCTCTCTCTCCCCAAATTTAAATTCTGTGCCAAGAAACCAGAACTTTATCAGTTATTTATATTGTGCGAAACATTTAGGAGTAAGTTAGCAAAATATAATTTTAAACAATACATTTAGTGAGATAAATATAAGATCCATGAAGATTTTTTAAATTAGTCCAAAGCACTTTAAAAATAATAAACCTACTACAAAATGCAGATTAGAGTTATCTGATTTGAAACTCTTTCTTATTTTCCATTCAAATTGGAGGACAGAAGTAAGTAGATTCCAGTTCCTAGGGCATAACAGCATAAGAATTCTGGACCAAAGGATTGCTGAAGCTGGCACAAGGAATAACAATGAATTGGAACTGTTGAATAAACTGAACAGAGCAGTAGCAAAAGGAAATCTGTGTCTTATTCCTCTGGATTCACATATATATCACAAATATCACATTCAGTTTACAGAAGAGAGACAAAAATCAGAGCCTGGGATAACAGAATACTAAATCAAAATTCCCAGCAATAATAATCAGCACATTGAAGGAAGCAATTGCAAACCGATCACATAGTTGAGGACCACTTATCCTTTAATCCAGACTGGGCATTTAATAGCTAATAGGTGGAAGACCCACAGAAGAATTTGAAGGTTATGTTTTTATGTCATATTTATTTCAAATATTTATTATTTTTTTAAAAAATCAAAATCGATTAGAATAAAAAGTATAAATGCTACTAGGTTAAATATTGATATACTCAGGCAAAGAGTCTGTAGTTGAAAATAAAGATCTTGCTGATCCATTTATTAAACCCACATAAATGCTGACCATATGTACACAGATTCTTCATCTGTATTCATCCAAAGATTCTTGGATTTGTTCATTCTGCATGTTAACTTACTAACTTGAATTTAACCTCCAATGCTATGGGGAAGTAATTAAAAATGTTCTTTTTTTAAAAAAGGGAATCTTTCTTAGGAACCTGCTCCAAAATGTTTATAACTTTGCTCTATAAGTCCCTCTATGATCTTTGTATACAATACCTAGATTGGTAGATATTTATCTACTTATACTTTATTAAATTTCATTCAAGAACTAACTTGAATAAATTGCATGCAAAATGCAATGTATTTTATGCAATAGTTTTCTGATATTCAGAATTACCTGTGTATAACTCCCAACTATCCTTTATGGAATCAAAAAGCCCAAACTCACTTTTTTCTTGCTGTCTGATTGATCTGCTGTTAACTGCTGTTCCCCATCTCCCATTAGCCGTCATGAAGTCCATATTTTGCCTTCATCGTGATTATAATGATAAGTTAACCATTGGTAATAGGAACAATAACAATTTCTGATAAGATGGATGAAATAGGAAGGCTAAAATACCGTTTCTTAAATTGTGAGAATGTGAATGGCTTTGAGCTTGTTTATCCTGGCTGAATGCTTTATTTCTTATTCATCCAGCTCTACCCATTCAGGCAGTTCCAAAAGGATTCTGAGGAAATAATAGTTCTCAGTCCCCAAACATAGGTCACTTATTTTTAAATAATTATTTCAAAATCTAACAACAATCCATAGCATACTAAATAGCAAATAGATATTTGACACACTTACAGACTAAATGTTTTTCTTACATTTACTGAAAAGTACAATAGGCTGTTTAGTTGACATGTCTCATTGTATTATATATTTCCTAAACAATTTATAATTAAGTAAGATTTATGCAATTTCATTACAAATTACTTGCATCCTGTCATATCTTGTCTACATATGCACGTCTACATATCTTGCATAATGGTTATTTTTTTTAACTAAAGCAAATTGCAGAATGTGTCTTCCATTTAATACTAACCAATGTACAATATATGTGTATGTTCAGAATGCAATGTTCCATTTCTCCTGCAAGATTGTGTAGAGAACTCTTACAGCCAAGCATCATTCCCTCCCCTCCACACATTCATGCAAGTCAATTTCCTTAACTATGCAAGAGGAAATGTTGATCAAAGTAAAAAAGTTTGGGAACTTGTCCTCCTCAAAGGATTTCCCCCCTTGCAAAGTGTCCAGGGGACAGCAGAAGGTAGGGAAACCAGTGAGAAAACCTACCTGAATGTTTTTTTCACAGTCTGTTTGCTGGTGAAGGGAGAGCTCACTTTCTAGAACAAATTTCTTTCCACACTTGTCGCAGATCTGCATGCGCCTATGAGTGACGTTCATGTGCTTCTCCAGATACCAGCGTGTGTTAAACACCCTGGGGCACTTCTCACAAGTCAAAGTCTCCTTTTCTTCACACTTTGATTTCTGCACAGGTGCCTTGGGCTCCTTTGCAGCTTTCTTCTTACGCTTGGGAGGCTCAATGCTCTTTCTACGGCCCCTTGTAGTTCTGGAAGTAGGGGAAGATGTAGCGGCTGCAGTAGATGCAGCTCTCCTTGTCCTCCTTTGTGCAACACTATCATTTTCCTCTCTTTGCTCTTTTTTCTTCTGCCTCTCATTTTCCTCATCATTACTGTCTTCAGTGGCCTCTTCCTCCCCACTGTCACCCTCCTCTTCCTCACTGCTGGTCTTAAGAACAGCAGTTTCTTTGGATTGGGAAGGGACCCCCTTCTCCCCTTTTGATACATTTAATGTTTGGTTGTTAAGGTTTACCTCTACTATTATCTGCTCCCTTTTGTAAGTCACTTCATCTTCTTCCTCGTCCTCGTCCTGCAAGTCGTCAGAGTTCTCCCTGTCTTCTTTCACGGCTCGGGCCTCTCCTACTGTTCTGTCTTCCCTGAAATATGGCTGCTCCTCTCTGTCATGAAGATGTGGCTTACTTGCTTTTGGTTCCACCAACACAGAATAAGGACTCCCAGACTCCCTTTTGTATACCTTGGTGGATAAATCAAGTTCCTGGCTGGCACCATGATAGAAAGTGGGTGATACTTGACCCCTGTCCTCCTGTGCCATCCCTGCTACATGTATGGTGCAATTTTTAGCCATCTGCTGGCAAGAGCTGGCTGTTTCATTCATGGCGGCTCTCGATTCATTGAGCACCTTGTATTCCAGAATATCAATGAAGTAACTTTTTTGGAAGAGGATGAATATCTGGAAATCACTAACTCATGACTGTTTTGGGGGAGCAGAGCAAGAAAGCACGTGTAGGTCATGGAACTCTGGTTTTATAGCAAGAAGACATCGACAGCAGTTCATAGGAAGAAAGCTGCCACTCAACAGATGAAAATTTTGTCTAGAAAAAAAGGAGAAAATTAAGTTAGTGGCTTAAGCATAGCTGAAATAAATTATCCTTGGAAAAATTTGTTGCTTAATATAAGCGGTGTACACAATTTGCTCCAATAATTGTTAACCATTTATATTAATAATAGACTAATCATATTATTGTCTACAGGATAAAAATGGGAAATGCTTTTTTGCATTGCTGACAAATATACACTATTATCTGAATTTTAGAGCAATAGAAGGTGCTAAATATAATTAAAAATGGTTTTATATATTTAAGAGATGACCTGTAATAGTTTCTCTTACTCATGTTTAACCATAAATAAATACCAACATCACTTCAAATCTGGTATTTTTAATATCAGATTTAAGGTATTTGCCTATTCATATATTCAAAATTAAAACAGAACTGCAAAAGATATTATACAACTGTGATTAATTAGGAAGAAGAAAATTTTCAATCATTTGAACATTTAATATTTACTGAACACTAATCTAAAATTCTTCTAAATTTTTCAAATGAGTATTAAATGCTAAATAAAAATGCAGTTATGTCAGATTATGGATGTAATTATATGTTCAGTTATACAGCATAGAGCTTTGCATATAATGAAAATTTATAATTTCATTTTTCAGAAGATTATAGTTATGTAACTATAAAGATCATCTTGAAATATCATGATTGTGCCTAATGAAATAGGAATCTGTGATTTGCCCATATAACCTAGTATATATTAATATGTTCCTGAGAAAAAGCTTAATATACAATCCAATCATGATGAGCTTCCATAAAGGCATAAAGACCTGGGGCAAGATAGAGTGATCTGCTCCATATTATTTATATATAACAATATTCTTCTATTAATTGTATCCATTAATACCTCCCCCCACTTTTATAGCCAAAAGATCAGAAAAAGAGCAAGATAAAACTTACAAAGTGAATATATAATTTAATCCTATTTAATAAGCCTCCTAGATCCACTCTGTGATTGAAAAGGCATATAAGTTGACAAACAAAAGTTCTGTTCCAAACTTGAAAGGCTTGACAGGAACATTTTAAGCTGGCTATGTTTCAATGGAACAAAACTCAAAATATTTCCAACTTCTGCCATACTGAATAGTAGGAGCATAAAACAAGTCTCTTGTTTTTTGTCCTGGAATCACAGATATTGTATTGTAGTCTATTTCTTCCCATTCAACTGACAGAAAATTTGATGAAAAAGATGACTTAAAAAGTTGTTATTGCTTCTTAATCAATAACAAAAAGAAAAAAGAGCAAACAAAAAAGAACAAATACAAAATAGTGATGATACATACATTGTCAAAAAGACGGAAAAAAGAACTCATAAAAAGTGCTCTAACAAAAAAGTGAAAAAATACAACAAAGAAAAATATGCAGATAGAAACCTCACAATATTTTGATTTGAATTAAGAAATACTAAGTGCCCAAATTTTGAATGAAAAGCATATAAAATATATTTGCAATAGAATTATTGCTTATGCATAATGCAAAAATAAAATTAAAAATAAAATGGGCATATTTAAAAATGAATGAAAACATTTATGGCTAAACATTTATTTATACAAATATTGAAAAAGAAATATGCATTAACTACTATATCACAGCAGACAGAATTTATGCTTACATATCTACAACAAATATTGGGAAAATGGCAAAAGATCCAGTAATATATTGGCTAATCATTTAAAATAAAGAAAACTTGGGCAATCATTCCAATTATTTGAAGTAAAAGAGAAGAAATCTATAAAACTAAAATAGATATAAATTGTCAATTTTTAAAATTTTATTCAGAATTATATAGTAATAATATAATGCTATATTAAATAGATTCAGTTTCTTTGATATTCATAAAAAGGATGAAGATATCATATCACCCACATCTAAAGTAAAGACTAATGGCATGCTTTCTCTACTTTTCTAGTATTCAGAAGAAGTAGACAAGGATATCCACTTTCACCCATGCTTTTTAACATCCATGGAACTCTTGGCTTATGCTATTAGCCAACATAGAGAGATCTATGGAACAGTAGTTAATTCAGTTAATTAACTTAATTAACAAAAATAATTTTGTTTGCAAATGACATTTTGTTTTTTTCTAAACCATATGCTACTATCCCAGTGTTTATGTAAAAGATAGATGACTTTAACAAAACAACAGGATGCACTATTAACTGGTGTAAATCAGAATTGATGCCAATAGGTGAAAATTCAGTTATCTATCCATTTAAGGAATATCAATTTGATATTTGTACCAAATACATTATATGCCAAGGAAATAACTCAGTTACTAATATGTAATATAAATAAAATATGGATAAAGGTTTCTTCAGATATTGATAATTGAGAGCTATTAATAAACCTTATTCTTTGGGGAAAGGTGAATACTGCATCAACATAGGGATAGTATTAAGATCACATGAAGTATTACTACTGCTTTATGCTGCACCGATAAGGCCACATTTCTAATATTGCATCCAGTTTAGGTTGAGATTCTATGGTAGGAAGAATGTAGAGAATAACAAAAAATGATTAGGAGACTGGCTAAACCAGTGATGGCAAACCTTTTAGAGACCGAGTGCCCAAAAACTGGCCCGGCCCCTGCTCCACCCCCTGCCCCCCCACTCTGCCCCCACCCTGTCCCCCGCCCCACTTGCCCACAGGGCCACTCACCACCTCCAGGGCCCACTGCAGATCACCCGGGTAGCCCACCAGTGCCATGGTGGCCATGCCCTCTGCCCGCGCAATGGGGCATGAGGGCAGAATCTTGTCTACGCTGCCTGACTACCATGTCCTTGGCTGCACTGCTCTGCTCTACATGAGCCATGCTTGGAGGCAACTCTCCTCCAGGGGGACTGCTGCTGAGGAGGGAGTCGTGGAGGGAGGCGAGGCTGGGGCAACAGCACGTGTGCCCACAGAGAGGGCTCCGAGTGCCGCCTCTGGCACCCGTGCCATAGGTTCGCCACCACTGGGCTAAACCATACGATGAACATTTGCGGGAATTGGGAATGTCTAGTCAAACAAAGAGAAGGATTAGGAGCAACATGATAGCAGTCTTCCAATAACTGAAAGATTATCATTGAGACAAAGGGATCAACCTATTCTCCAAAAATCCTGAGGACAAGACAAGAAGTAATGGATGGAAGATTAGAAAAGAGATCCAGTCTAGAATTAAGAAGAAATTTCCTACCTGTGAGAACAATTAATCAGTGAAACATCTTGCCTCCAGAAGTTGTGGGTGATCTATTATTAGAGATTTTTAAGAAGAGATTGGACAGCCATTTGTCTGGGATAGTATAGGACTTCCTGCCTGAGCAGAGGGTTAGATTAGAAGACCTCCAAGGTCCTTCCAAATCTGTTATTTTGTATTCTGTAAAATGAACATTATTACCAGATTGATTTATATTTTGATAGGATTATATACTGTATCTAGAAAAGTTTTCAGAAAATAAATTGTTTAGAAAATTGTTAGTTCTTTGATTCCTCGAACATTTTTTTATTAAAAATTTTATAAACTTTTTACAATAAAATACCCCCCTCCCACCCCATAACCCTCCCCCCTCCTTCCCAGAGCTGAATACAGGGTTAAAGAAACAAAAAAACATACAAATTAAATGAATATCAATCCACTATACATACATCCAAAAAATTTAAAGTACTTTAACTCCAATACATAGAAACTACAAATCCAACCATACCCATTTTAAACTGTAGATTATTCAAAAGCTAAATAATACTTCCTGATCCCATATTTATTCTGTACACAATTTACCCATCTTTTCCACACCGAGATATATCTCTCTTGTGAATGGTCTTTCAGATAAGCCGAAATTTTTGCCATTTCTGATAAATAAGAAACTTTAAGAAACCATTCTTCTATGGTAGGCAAGGAATCCTTCTTCCAATATTGCCCAATCAGCAACCTTGCCGCTGTAATAAAATTTAACATTAAGGTAATCTCTTTACCATCACAGTCTACAATAATACCTAACAAAAATAATTGTGGTGTAAATTTTATCCTTCTATTAAAAATCTTCTGAATGTTCCACCAAATCTTAATCCAAAAAGCCTTCACATTTCTACATGACCACCAAATATGAGATTCCTGGAACATCTTTACAGAAAGTACAATTATCAATTAATGAGGGAGGATTTAGTTTTACAAATCTTTACAAATCTGTATCATCACGCTTATCTATTGTCAAGTATTAAATAATGGAAGCAAACAATTGGTATTTTCTAATTTGGAATATACATACATAGCACCTTTGATTTGGTAGACATATATTATGATCTAAATATATTAAAAGTCTAGTTATCTCTGGACACAATGATGTCCATTAGGAAGTTATGGTTTGGAATATCTGATAAAAAAAAAAGATTTGACTCTTTTCTTATGCCAAACTGACTTTATGGGAAAATCCAAAAAATTATATAGAAGCAGGGATACTGATTTTGGATTAACTGACAGAGGATGAACATGAATTTTAACACACACTATATTAAGAGATAAATATCATTTCTCAGATATAACTCAATGGCAATATTTACAATTACAAAATTTTTAACATTATTTGGATCAGACATTTCAGTTTCGGAGATGTCTAAGATACTGGAACAACTTGTAAAATCCTTTAAAATAAAAGCAAACATACAAAAAATCATTCTACTATTGTTTTAAATGTATGTTATCATTAAATCAATTTCATATGCAGTTGTTAAAAATAAGTATAATAAAGAATTAGATTCCTATAATGTCTAGATAATTAAGACACTCTCTAATTTCTAGAGAAAATGTAAATGTATGTAAAATTATACAACTTATCCCTAAAAAAAAAAGTAAGAGTCCAACAAGTTCTAAAATTAAAGGCTGTCAAAATCATTTTTTGTTAAGAAATGTTCTTTTAAAAATGTTCCTAGAAGTCCTATATTCACCAAGTTTGGGGAGAAAGTGGTGGATTACCTAAATATGATTGTGCAAAAAAAGCTAA